CGGCAAGAGACTACATTTGAAGTCTTGGAGGTCTCCTCGAGCACAGAATGATGTTGCCTGAAAGGATGCACATTGTCTGTCCCAATGGGAGCCGGTTGACAGCATAAAGAGGTTCCAGGCTCTTGAGAGGGGTCGTGACCCCAGGAAGTAAAAGCACATAGCAAACACTGACGACTGCCTCCTCTCTTCCTGTCTGCAAGCAGAGGTGGTCAACAAGGCATTTGGACACTGCAGCTCTGCGCTAAAGTAAGAGACTTTAATCTTTTAATTGCTCACAGTTGTATTAAGGCAGAGTTCTCTGTTGGCTCCACAGAGCCTCTCTTAGGGCCCATTGCACAGCATCCTCTCCATCTCACTCATGTGTGTCTGCCTCTAAACCTCTCTGCAGCCCTTTCATTCCCATCTCTCTTTCTCTGCTTTTATTCTTCCCTCATTCGCACTCCTCTTTCTGTCCCTTCCAATCTGCCTCTTCCTGCGCTGCTGCCTCTGTAGCTCTCAGGACAGTATTATATATTCCAGTCTCATGCTTTGCATGATTTGGGCAATAGATGAAGCCATATCCCCCTCTGCTCCGCGGCCTCTCTATGCCTCTCTCTCTCGCCTTGTTGTTTAATGTTTCAATTTGGAGGAAGCAAACATTCAATCAGACAGATTAACTGTTTAATGCATGTCATCAGTCAAACTGTCTACGAGAGGGGGCCCCGGCCGCTGCTGCGCTCCCCCCACAGCCGCTCTGTCCTTCTCCCTGCTCTGCTCCCAGCACACACTGTCTACTCTCATATAGAGGCCAGGCCAGACGCAGGCGCACATGCACAAACCACACATGATACGACCTCAGGAACCTGCTACATATGCATGTCCATGCACATCCACATGTTTTATAAGAATACCGTTTAAAACATATCGAATATATATATATATATCTTTATGTATTTGTGCTACAAAAAGTACTCATACTCCCTGGACTTCATGGATATATTTGTTTAAATTTGATTTGAAAGACCAACACAAAGTGGCAAACGATTGTGAAGTGAAAACAAAATGATACATACATTATTAGATTTTTCAAAATAATAGAATACTAAACAGTGTGGAATGCAAGAGTATACACTGAACTAAAGTAGTACTATATCAATACTTTGTGGAATCCAAATGTTGCTACAATTACTGATCTCTTTTGGGGTGTGTCTCTCCCCACTGTGTACATTTATATACTTTCATTTTAGTCCATTCTTTTTTTTTATCAAGTCTTTTGAGAACTCCAACAGATTATCTTTGACACGTGTTTTGATGTGAGTGTAGATGACTTTACTTTGCTTAGAAGTTCATTGTCCATGATTTTGTCTATTCTGTGTTTGTATCATATTATGTGCATGTGACTGTGTGTTATTGTGTGTGATTGTGTGCGACTGTGTGTGAGTCCGTGGCATTAATCCATCCATTGGGAATTCATAAAGCATCGACTTATCTATCAACTTTATCACTGCTTGGTGTGTTCCTGATGTTGTTTAGTAACCAATGTTCTTTCAACACTGCTATGAGGCCCTCACAGAACATCTTTAAAGACATATTTATCTCAAATCACATGGATTCAACATTTGACCTTTGATCAATAATCAGGCAACTTCCCACAGAGAACTGAATATGCCGCACGTTTCAGGTTTTTATCCGCAAAAATAATAATGCGATTGTTCCACTTTATATTTAAATATCTAATGTCTGTGGTCATAATGAGATATAAAAACGAAAAAATATCAATACTTTCTAAAGGCAGTGTATTTCTCAAATTCAAAGTAAGGCTCATTGCCAAACTCCAGCTGACAGATTCATACAATAAATTACTGGCTGAGTCATTTATTTACTTCTAAACTTCCTTTTTATATAAACGCACAATTAAGCAATGCTCTTATAGCCGATAGCACAGTTGCTTGGCTACTTGGAGCGTTTGGTGCACAGGCCAGTGGATAGGGAAATCAAAGTGACACGGAGCCGGAGCTGGAGAGAATGAGATATTAGAGGAAATGAAAAGAATAAGGAGGAAAGGGGGAATGTGCGTCCGAGCAGCACGCAGATGACCAGACTGTAAAGCAGGGAGTGACACTCAGGGTTATGATGCTACTGGTGTACACACACACACACACACACACACACACACACACACACACACACACACACACTATACTGCAATTCTGTCCGGCCTTGGAGATCACTAGAGAAAGATGGATTCTGTAGTGCACAAACATGTAATCCTATCAAAACTCAACTTATTTTCAGATATAATACAATTTTGGTACCATCAGAAAGATCTCTGTTTATATTGTTGCGCCTACGACCTGCCAACGAATGAAGCGGAAGAAAATGGATAGATTCTGAGTGGAGTTTGCATGTTCTCCCCATGTCTACGTAGGTTTCCTCCGGGTACTCCGGTTTCCCCTACCACTTAAAAACACGCACAATAGGTCTGGCATGTGCCTCCTGTTCTGTCGACCACGCTCCCATCTCTGTGTGGAGTGAGAGACAAATGCCCACAATTGTAAACCGCTTTGTGACTCTGGTCTGAGAAAGGCGGTATATACAGTAAATACAGATTACTTACTTACTTATTGAAAAGAAAGGCTAATAAGATAAAGACAGCAGCATATGACAAAAACTGAACTTATTTTTTTGAATGAACTTGAGATATCCTCATCGAAATGTAACTGTTTTTTAATCTATAATTGTACGTAACTATGAGTCACTTTTGCTGCCACTTGTCCAGGACTTCCTTCAAAAAGAGGTTCTTAATCTCATTGGGACTCTCCTGGTTAAATAAAGAAATAAAAAAACAACAGAGAAAAGGTTACTGTATGTACATCAAGCTCAAGAGTATGAAGTGAGGAACCACGTCAAATGAACAAGGTCAAGAGCAGGAAAGGGACGCAGCAGACAATATCCAAAGTTCTGCAGTGTGCCTCATACACTACAGCTGCTCGCAAAGTGTAATGAACGATCCGCACTGTGCCCGCCTTCATCATTTTCTTCCCCATCCTTTTTTGTTTTACTCTATCTTTCATTCATTTCTATTTTATCTGCCGGAGCTACGGAGCATCCAGTGTGTCTGCTCTCCCTCCTCTCTCCCCCTCTCTGCCTCTCTTTCTCTGGTCACTGCTCAGAGGGTGGCCAAACCTGGTAAGTATTGACAGTGAGCTCCAGTGACACGGAGAGGCAAGTCGATGCCCAGACACCCAGGGCAGGGGTCAATGACAAGAAAGGTAGGCCGCCTAGAGAAGGGAGAGAATGGGGAGGCCCATGATAGATGAGAGGCACGAGGGGAGATATGCACAGAGATAGGACACGCTCAAGACTGAATAAAGGCAAGGTGAAAAGAGTTGTTTAAGGTTGAGGGTGTATCGAGAAGAAACTTAGCGCAAAAGTTAAAGATCATGAGATTTGAGTTTTACAGTTTATATCTATTTGACAAATTATTTATTTCAAATGTCAGCTATTTCAATCTGAAAGGATTCACAGAGCAGGATTTTTAAACTTCTCTACGGAAAATTGCTGTATTGTTTTATGATTTACAACAGCAGCACAACTAGAGTGCCAAAATGTCTGCAATGGTGGTGTTTCACATTTGTATCCCAGATTAAAGAAAAATACTAACCAAAAAGGGCAAGTATAAAAAATGACACGGTTTAAATTCCTAAAAGTTTAGTTGTATTACAGTATAACTACACTGAACGTCACTAAAGAAACTACAATAGAACTGTGTCCTATCTTAAACATAAAAAAACGTTGTTGATGAATGTAAAAAATCCAAAAAGATTTAAATTTATATTTCAAACACCTTTAAGATATAATGTGTTGTCACCTACTTAAGACAAGCTGAATGTGGAAAAGATGTCACAGAAGTTGGGGATGATGGGTCACTGTGGCGCTGGAGCTGCTCTGAGCCTAAAAAACAAAGCAGAGGCATGTTTGACTTACAGAAGTGGCTACACACTCTCCCACACACACACACACACACACACACACACATAGAGCAGTGTGTTTTCCTATTGACACAAAGAGAGAGTGTCAGTATGTATTGAGCGGCCCGCAGTATGTGCACCTCCTCTCCAGCCGGTCCCTTCCTCCTACTCTGCTCTTTATCGGATAATAGTTCCTTCTCCTCTAATCATTTCCTTCCTTTTGGCTCTCTCTCTTTCTAATGCAATTATTCCTCATTCCTCTGCTCCCTTCTTTGCCTGTTTGTGATACTTCTCAGTTCTGTGATATCTAAACAGGAAGGTGTTGTCTGCGTTTGTTATTGAAAAATGCACAGAGACATCCTGTTGGATTCTGTAGCTTGTAATGAGCCTGAGGCAGAAGCTGTTGGGCTTTTGTCAGTGTTTGAGATCACATGTCACATGTCAAATGGGACGAAAAGGCCACACATTGTTAAACATCAAACTCTCCTCCTAAATCTTGAATGCAGAGCAGAAAGGCCCTATACACATGTACCTCCAGCTCATCCTGGGGAATCCCCGGGCCTCCCCTGCCCAGCTGTGAGACACTCTTCAGCTCTCCTCCTGTGGTGGAAACATCTCCCCAGAGAAGCACTCCCGACATCTGAAACAGATGTCCGAACCACCTCTGCTGCTTTTCTCCTTTGACGGATAAGGAGGAGCAGCAGCTCTACTCCAAGCTTCAACTGTGTGAGCTGGTCACACTTTGAATTGCTTTGTGATCTGCAACAGCGGTTCCCAAACAATGAACGTCGAAAAGCAATAATTGGAAATAGGAAACTACAGTCATTTCAATTGAAGTACCAGGTTTGTTTGAAATATTAAATCCAAAATAGTGTCTTGGTTTCAGAATTATAACCAAGAAATTATTTTGTACCCTGACCCCCACTTTGGGAGCCATTGATACAAGACTTTGAGTCATGGTCTATCAAAAGCCCTTTCTTACCGACTTGTGTGTGATTTCATTTGTAACCTTTTATTTTTCAATGTGACGAGGGAAGGGGGAGGGAGGCATCACCACAGGTTCTGGCAGCCGAGCACCTCTCCTTTCCTTGCAAATGTGCGCGCGTGGCTTCCTGCGCACCAGCTCTGCGGAAACAGATGGTTCCCGGAATGTCCTCGAGCTGTGAGAGGCCCTGAGGCGCGTGAGGAGGAGGAGGAGGAAGAGGAGGAAGAGGAGGAGGATCGCGTCTCACCGACAAACTTTTCGGAGAAGATGAGCTCTGCTTTCCTCAATGCGACTTTTACATCTGAAGAGGATCATTGTTTCACTCACTTCCCCAAAGTGCGACAGCAGCTTCCTCAGAACCAGCGACACATTTGCATCCAAGTTCGAGATCCTTACTCTCACTTGTCAAGACATGTTACGGAAAGACATAAAGAATAGACCATTTCACTAACTATAGACAACGAAGAAATCCACACTAAAATAGGTATAATGTGGATCATAGACATCGTCATATTTGAGGATTCAGCACCTCGGACAGCGACTTCAAAACGAAAGTTGTTCTTCCACATTGAAACACTGTTCCATTATTTACTACATTATATTTCAAAGTAGACAACCACAAGATCATTCTGGACCTAGGTGCTAGACCAGGACAGGACAGCTGATTCACTAAATGACCACAAAGCAAACTGCCCGGATCCAATTGAACTTCTTTAATGGAGCGAAAGCATCCTTTCCAATTAGGCCGCAGTAATCCGCGGCTCATCCCTGTCTTACGGCCCACTTGTCCTACAGCCGATACTTTGATACAGCCTCGGAGTAACCTGACGGTCTGGCCCTTTGTTACACAGAGCGGGGGCTAATCTCACTGACCCGGTGCAACCTTGACCACCCACTCCCCCCCGGCCTTGGGCTCCAGCGCACGGACACACAACGTTTCCCGGGAGAGGGAAAGTGGAAGAAGGGGTGTTGTTCTTGATCGTTTCATCAACCACGTCCCTGCCGCGCGCGCTACCGACCTCCCGTTACCAGCAGCGGGGGGGGAGAGACGAGTCGATTCAACAGCCCCGACATGGGCAATGATCCACACGTAAGAGCCAAGTCCGTAATCAAGGACTTCATTCAAACTTTGAGTTAACAATTACTAAAAGTGTGTGCGGAGGAAATGCAACGTTACCAAAAGAGTCAAAACATAATTATGACGTAAAGTTTCCACAACTAATATTATGAATGCGTTTGCAGCTCCATAGAGCCCCATCCAATCTGAGGACATTTTCTGCACTGAGCCAACAACACAAACACTTAAACTCACACAGAGAGCGAGCGAGAGAAGCGAGGTGAAAGAAGCACCTTTCCCCAGCCCCGCGCCCCTCCGCCCTCCTCCCTCTATCTCCCCCCTCCTCTCCCCCTTTCACTCTCTCTTTCTCTCTGAAAAAACGGCGAGGAGGCGCGACTCGCAGGGCCGCACATAGCTGATCAATATTCGATTTAGTTGCTAATTTAGGGCCTTTCTATAGCTGTCATCCCGTGATGTATGAGTCCTAACCCGAGGTCGCCGCGGAAAAGAAGAAGAAGAAAAAAAAAATACGAAAAAATCAAACACCAGTCAACTTTTCACTTAACAATGGAGCGACTTGAATATTATTTATAGGCGAAAGACCCACTTTATGGGTGAATTGCTGCTATCGCTGGTGGAATGATGAAGCGCCTTGTAAGTACATGCCACACAGGCTCTGACACGGGCGTAAACAGCAGCAAGGAGACACATGTGTAATGGTTGGGGGGTTTTAATTGCAGAGGATGAAGTTTGTAGAAGTGAAAAGGGGACGAATTGTCTGATTATGGCAGATGAGAGCGATGGTGGTGTTTCCAAAGAGACAAAAACTCTTTACAAATACAGTATTTATTAAATAAAAAGACAAGGATAAAAGTTATAAAAGTCCTTCGTTAAAACCCAGAAACCTCGGATGTGGGGGCTCCGGGGGAATTGTGCCCCAATGGCTGAGGCTAACGTGGGCCAGAGGCAGGTAGACGGCGCTCGTCCCCAACGTGAATGGCGCACACCGCTTCTAGGGGGAGACAGCACACCGGCAGAGCACAGCACATATATGGGCCAAAGGCTGGAGTGTAAAACGTGTCTTGAACCGCTACTTACGGCGCAGGCGGGGTATGAGCCCCGCCGCTGCGTGTAGGTCGCTTCGCGGTACGTCCCAGTGACTCTGCGTCCTCGCTCTTTATCCGGATTGCAGCCCTCCAGCTGCCGCCGCGGATCCCAGGGCCGTAGACCTCTAGGGGAGAGAGCACACCGGAGCAGAACACAGCATACGAATATATGGCAAAGGCCACGGGGGGGTAAACGCGTCTTGAACCGCTACTTACTGCGTAGGCGGGGTATGAGCCCCGCCGCTGCGTGTAGATCGCTTCACGGTTCGCCTCTTTGGCACTCGACGGGTCCCGCTCGTGGTCTTCCTCCGTGGCCTGCTCTCGTCTCCGTGCTCGTCCCGTTCGTCCGTGCCCGTCTCTGCCCGTCTTTGTTAGTCTCCGTTAGTCTCCCGTTAGTCTCCGTTTGTTTTTTTCTTGTTGCTGCTCTCTTGTCGTTTTAAGAGCCTGTCTGCCCATTTAGGCAGGTGTGGTGATTGTCAGGGGCGTCCAGTTGGCTGGTGACAGTAAGGTGGTAGGAGTGGCTACGGCATGCGGTTCATTAAAAGCACAACAAACACACAGCAATACAAAAGTAAAATAAAACCCGCACAATGCCGGCTTACACCCCCCCACACTTTTACGTTACCAGTCCCTGGGGACGTCCCATTGTCACTTAGTCATTGTACCGCGTAGGGAGTTGTCCAATGTTCGGCCGGATGGAGCGGCGGGGTAAAACTTGGGGCTCCTCCAACGGTGGTTCTGGTCCAGCAGGAAAGAATCCGTAGACAACTGGCAGTTCATGTCTCTCTATGGGTACTGGGTTGGGCAGTGACACAGGTTCATCAGGGGGCAATGTACAAACTTTCAGGGCATTCCTGTGCACAGTCTGTTCGCGCCCACCCTTTTCAGGGCGCACCGTGTACACGACCCCAGTATCTCCGACAGTGTTCAAAATAACATGTGGTTGAGGATGCCACCAAGTGCTCAGTTTACCCCTGCCTTCTCTTCGTCTATTCCGCAACCAGACTCGCTCGCCAGGTAAGAGAGGCGCAGCGTTAGCACGTTTATCAAACTGTCGTTTCTGCTGGGAAGTTGCACTGTCTGCTTTCTGCTTAGCGACGTTGTACGCCACAGAGAGCTTTCTATGGTGCTCTCCCACCCACCCGGCCAGATCGAACCGCGACTGTTGGGGCTGCGGGCCCAAAACTACGTCTACAGGGAGCCGTAGATGCCGCCCAAACATCAAAAACGAAGGGGCATAACCTGTAGCGCTATGTACAGTGTTGTTGTACGCATGGACTAATTCAGGTAGGTAGTCCTGCCAACGGTTTTGCCTTTCCTCCTGCAGGGAACGGAGCATGTGCAACAAGGTTTGATTAAACCTCTCAACACCACCATTGCCTGCAGGATGATAAGATGTGGTGCGGCTTTTATTTATGCCATACAAGGTGCACAGCTGTTGCATCAGCGCCGACTCAAAATTTGGACCACGATCAGAGTGGAATCTCAGTGGACAGCCAAATTGTTGAATTATGTCCTTCCACAGCATTCTTACTGTGGTTTGAGCCGACTGATCAGTTGTGGGGATGGCCCATGCAAAACGGGTAAACAAATCTGTGGCAACTAAAATGTTCTGGTATGTGTCTGCGGGGCGACCCAAAGTCAAAAAGTCTAATGCGATTACTTCAAGGGGGAATGCAGTAGAAATGGGGTGTAATGCAGCGCGTGGTTCAACGCGGCTCTTTTGAAGTCCGCACGCAAGACAGCCCTCATGAAACAATCGTACCTCCCCCTCCATGCCTGGCCAGAAAAACTGCTGCCTGATGCGGGCGAGAGTCTTGTCTGGTCCAAAATGGGCTCCAGCCTCATGAATCATCTTCCACACCTCTGCACACAAAGAGCTTGGGCACACGATCTGGTGGTGCTCCTCATGGGTGTGTCTGTCAAGCACAGTCCGGCACAATAGTTCATCTCTCACCGTCAGCCTCTGCCACTGTTGCAGTAACTTCTGGGCCCGTGAAGTCAATGCCCGGCGGTCCAGACGGCCTGGAAAGCGGTCCTCCATCACAAACGTTTTGACTGCCTGGATATCGGGATCGGATGCCTGGGCCTCTCCCCACTCAATCGCAGACGTCACCTCCACTGCAGCTGCATCCACCAGCTCATCGACGGGTGGTATGGCCTGTTTAACAGGAGCAGGAAACCTAGACAGAACGTCAGCGTTGATATTGCTTTTACCTGACCGATATTTGACCGTGTAGTTGAATGGGGCGAGTTGGGCCACCCAGCGTTGCTCCACTGCTCCTAGGTGTGCCGTCTGCAGGTGGGCCAGTGGGTTATTGTCTGTGTATATGGTGAATTCAGCTCCTATGAGGAAGTCTTTAAACTTTTCAGTCACAGCCCATTTAAGGGCTAGCAACTCAAGTTTAAAGGAACTGTAATTCGCGTCATTTTTCTCCGTTGGGTGTAGGCTCCTGCTCGCATATGCAATTACACGCTCCTGACCATCTTGATGTTGAGATAGGACAGCACCAAGCCCCTGGTTGCTCGCGTCTGTGTAGACTATGAAGGGCTTATCGTAGTGGGCATAAGCCAGCACAGGGGCCTGGGTTAGGGCATTCTTTAAGGAGTCAAAAGAACTCTGACATTGTGGTGTCCATGTTATAGCCCTTGATGAGGATCTGCGGTCAGCTGGTATACCGGTCAGGAGTCCATTAAGGGGCCTGGCAATTTTAGCAAAACCTGATATGAAGCGGCGGTAATACCCAGCTAAGCCAAGGAACGCTCTAACCTGCTTCACAGTGGTTGGGATAGGCCACTCCAGGACCGAGGCGATCTTCCCTGGATCCGGCCTCACACCATGTCCATCCACCACATGCCCTAGGAAAGTTACTTCTCTCTGCAGGAGCCTGCATTTATCCGGACGCAGCTTCAATCCGTGGCGCCACAGCCGCTCAAACACCTGGTCTAGATGCTGGAGGTGGGCAGAGAAATTTGGAGAGTAAATAATGATGTCATCCAAATAGACTAAAAGGGATTCAGCTATCTGCCCATTTAAGCACTGCTGCATCAGCCTCTGGAATGTTGCAGGAGCATTGCAAAGGCCAAAGGGCATGCGTTGGAATTCATAGAGGCCTAGCGGGGTAGTAAATGCAGTCTTTTCTTGGTCTGCAGGGTGCATGCCGACCTGCCAGTAACCGCTGGCAAGGTCCAGGGTCGAAAACCATTCTGATTGGCCAAGACTAGTTAGGGTCTCCTCGATTCGTGGGAGGGGGAACGCGTCCTTATGGGTTACAGCGTTGAGCCGTCGATAGTCCACGCAGAAGCGCCAGCTCCCGTCCTTCTTTCGTACGAGGACAATAGGGGCTGCCCACGGACTACAGCTCTCCTTGACAACTCCCTTTTCCAACATGCTCGATAGAAGGGTCTTTACTTCTCTGTACAGCATTGGGGGGATTGGCCGGTGCCTCTCTCGGATGGGGGCAGCATCGCCCGTAGGGATTCTATGCTGCACCAGGTCAGTCCGGCCAAAATCCTCGTCATGTACGGCAAAGACCTTCTCCCACCTCTGCAGCAGGGCCTCCAGCTCCTCCTGCTGCACCTCAGACAAGTCAGGGCGCGTTTTCAGCTTGCTCACCTCTGGGGGCAACTCAGAGTTAGCCGCCGAAGTTGTGACATCTACCAGGGTTACCGCTACGACGTCGTCTCCCTCAAGAAACAGAGATGGGTCATTTGGGCCATGTACATCTGCCTCTTCAATATGATAAAGCTGCCCTAACCTCGTAAAACGACCTACAGACACACTGTAGGGGTGGGGGTTACAAATGCGAACAGGGACTCTTCCTTTCCTCACCTCGACCAGCGTTCTAGCCACACCCACACCACCAATATTAGCCCCAGGAACCGGCTCTATAAGGGCACAGAAATCTGTTCCACCCCGCCCCATCCGAGTACGACCCCACACCACTATCTCACTGTTTGGAGGGACTGAAATGTTATTCTTCGTGGCCAACCTCACGAAACCCATTGACCCGTCCTCTGTGGGGGCTACTTCTATGCGGCTGCAGGTGGCAAACGCCTCCCGCCACACTCTCAGATGTTTAAATTGTGGTGGGAGAGCAGGCATCTTTGACCTCTTAAAGATGTTATCCCAACAAGCCATGATGACGTTCATTCCTATAATTAGAGGGGAAGTACACTTATTGTCTGCAACTATGACCACTCCCCTCTCTGGGACCTTAATACCCTCAACCTCTAGGTTGAGCACGGCGTAGCCAATGTAAGGTATTTCTAGTCCGTTGGCTGCTCTAAGCTGGAATAGAGTAGGAGCTTTTCCTAGTTTATCTTGGGTAAAATGTTCCTTGAATAAACTCTCTGCCATCAAGGTAACTTGTGACCCAGTGTCTAAAAGGCCTTCCAATTGTACTCCATCAAAGCCTATTTTTACTGTAGGACATTTCCCAACAAATGTTTCAGTGGCCCTATTGGGTGGTGGGGTGTTAACTAGCCCTGCAGCTCGGACCTCAGCAGCAGGGTTTAACCGTTTAAAGGCTGCTCTTGGATGGATATGCCTCTACAATGGCGAGCAATGTGTCCTGCCTTTCCACAGCGGTGACATATAGGCCTACCTTGCTCGTCCCGGTCATTATAGGGTCTCGGTGAATACCGGCGGTTCCACGTGGTGTTGGGGGGGCTTGACTGGGGAGAGGCAGACTGCAGCAGGGGTTTAAGCTCAGCGAGGATATCACGGGACAGCCCCTTCATTTGGACGTTCACCTCCTCCATGATTTCGCGCTTCAATTGCTCCTTCCAGTCCAATCCCTGTGGGGTTTTAGGAGAGTCATAATGTTTTTGAACTGAGGCACACGTTACCTCTGGTTGACCCCGGCCGTACTCAGTCTCCAATAACCTGGCCTCCTCACGTAGCTCTGTGAAATCCAGCTCTGGGTGACGGCGAGCATAGACCTTCAGAGCTTGGGCCAGTGGGCTGTCGCTCAAGCCTAGCAGCAGTTGATCTCGCAAGGCACTTTCGGAGGGGGGGTTTTCACGGTCTTGGCGCCTCAATCTAGAATAGAGTTCACGTAGCCTCAAAATGAAGGTTAAGACAGGTTCATCCATTCTTTGTGTACAGCCAAAAAATTGTGATCTCAATACGGGTGTTGGAGTCTTCTCACCATATACTGAGTCTAGATAAACAAAAATCTTCCTTGTCTGGTCTCGCTCATCGTTTTCTAAGACAGTGATTTGCCGCTTAGCCTCCCCAGCTAGTGCCCCTATAATAATTTCAACTTGTCGTGCCTCTGTTAAATCTTGTGAACCCAAAAGCCCTTTTATCTGTTCCTTCCAATCAGAGTATTTCAAGTCACTGTCTGGCCCTTTAAATTTAGGTAACCACGGCGCGCCCGCAAAAATCGGCATCATCATCATGTTTGTCCTTTTTGGAAACACCAGCTCTCAGAATTGTGTATCCTGCCAGCAACGCCAAGTTATGTAATGGTTGGGGGGTTTTAATTGCAGAGGATGAAGTTTGTAGAAGTGAAAAGGGGACGAATTGTCTGATTATGGCAGATGAGAGCGATGGTGGTGTTTCCAAAGAGACAAAAACTCTTTACAAATACAGTATTTATTAAATAAAAAGACAAGGATAAAAGTTATAAAAGTCCTTCGTTAAAACCCAGAAACCTCGGATGTGGGGGCTCCGGGGGAATTGTGCCCCAATGGCTGAGGCTAACGTGGGCCAGAGGCAGGTAGACGGCGCTCGTCCCCAATGTGAATGGCGCACACCGCTTCTAGGGGGAGACAGCACACCGGCAGAGCACAGCACATATATGGGCCAAAGGCTGGAGTGTAAAACGTGTCTTGAACCGCTACTTACGGCGCAGGCGGGGTATGAGCCCCGCCGCTGCGTGTAGGTCGCTTCACGGTTCGCCTCTTTGGCACTCGACGGGTCCCGCTCGTGGTCTTCCTCCGTGGCCTGCTCTCGTCTCCGTGCTCGTCCCGTTCGTCCGTGCCCGTCTCTGCCCGTCTTTGTTAGTCTCCGTTAGTCTCCCGTTAGTCTCCGTTTGTTTTTTTCTTGTTGCTGCTCTCTTGTCGTTTTAAGAGCCTGTCTGCCCATTTAGGCAGGTGTGGTGATTGTCAGGGGCGTCCAGTTGGCTGGTGACAGTAAGGTGGTAGGAGTGGCTACGGCATGCGGTTCATTAAAAGCACAACAAACACACAGCAATACAAAAGTAAAATAAAACCCGCACAATGCCGGCTTACACATGGAAACATACAGGCGAGCAGTGCTGCTAACGCTCTGCAAACTGGGAAATATTCATATCAGCGCCTGTCAATACCTCGGTCTCTTGGAGTTCACAATGCAATTTGAATGCTGCATTTGATTAATGACGTTTGTGTGTGTGTGTGTGATAAAAGGCTACAGTTCCCCAGTGTAACAGCATAACTCGGAGAAGACAGACTTACATCTCCTATTAGTCATCCACACTAATATTATATTATGAGCCTAATTGTTTTGGCGCATTGCTCTGCGCGCACACACCCATCAGAACCCACGCCAGCCGCTTTATTTTGCCACTTAATGTCTTCCCTATCGATCACTGTTCTAAGGATGTTATCAATAATTTGAAAGCTTGATTAACTTCAACGTTTCCATAACAATCCTCGACGTTTATCCTCCCTCTCTCTTGCATTTTTAATTAACGTGTGCTTAATTAGTTCAAGATCGTTTGAAAGGAAGATACTTTATTTTATAGGGAAAAGGGGGGAGGAAATTAACATAAAAAGCTCAGCTGATAAATTGATATATTATCAGGAAAGAAATGTTGTAGAGATTTCTTGGCGGAACGAGTCATAAACACACATCCATCAAATGAAGACACTTGAGACAATGCATCATTCTTTGGCAACGTTTATTCATTATTTAATGAGTTTACTGCTGTAATTTCTGCAAATTATGAGTGTGTGCATCCTCTACGGCTGAATCACTCACAGGCAAAGGCGTGCATTTATAACAAGCAGCACAAACAGCAAACCAATTTCCTCAGGTGACAAAGAGTTGTAAAGAGCAGTCGGGCTGGAGTGCAGGGGGAACTTGCTCAAAGTTGAAAGTGTATAAAAAAGTATCCAAATCCAAAAACCAGCGGTCAGATTGACAGAACTTTTGCTGCGTAGCTGTGTGGCAATTAATTGTGAAATGCTGGTGGTATGCGGCATGTAAACCATTTAATGAATAAAAGGCAGTTTAATTAGAGTGATTAGTTAAGGAATCAATGAGCTGGCACAAGTGGAGCTTAAAGAGACCTGAACAGAGGTAATGGAGCAGGGGAATACTTAAGTAACTGTGTACTTCACTTCAAAGTCCTCTGTTGGTGCAGGTGAGGAAATTACTGTTCCTAAAATGTCTTTTAAAATGTGTTATGTTTGAGTATGTCGGAGTTGTCCAAAGCCACAATTTCACATGTAATTATTCCGAATGCGACTCCCATAAATAAGGTACCACTTTGTTATCGGCCATTCAGCACCATGGACAGCAGCACTGAATTATCCAACATTTCTGATATTGCTACTCTTTACAGACATCTCAAATTTCATTGTTTATCATTTTCACTTGTTCATAAAGAGGAGATATTCAATTCACAGGAGCTTTTCACAAGACTTTTAACATTTAATCTGCAATGACTCTTATATCAAGCAGTTGACTGAACCATTTTTCCATCCTTGGCATTTATTGCTCAGAAACGGACAGCTCTCCCGTCTGCACGGCTGCGTGTTATGACTTTGAATGTTTAATAAATGACAAATCAAAACACGTTCTTCTACGTTCGTTCAACATGTGGCTATTCTGACGTGTAAAGGCAGTGCAGTTGGAAATACATTACAAACTAACAAGGATATGGAGAGTATAGGGCTGCGAGCTCATAGGCTTTTGTAGGCAGCTGCTGTTTGTTTGGTGAAAGTGAGAGCATGATTTCCCCAGACCCAGCACCCGAGGGACGCCCCGGCTCTCCCCCTGCCATCTCCCCTAGCACCCCGATGGTTAAACGGACAGGTCACACGTGCGCTTTCAATCTCCTCCGCCTGGAATGGGCCCCGGCTGCAAGCAAAAAAGGCCACATTTCCCTGGTCATTACCGGCAAGTCACAGCAAATCGTATGCTAATCACATCAAAAACCTGGAATCGCCGTCATTAGCCATGCTGCAGTCATAGGGAAACTAGTCAGTGAATAATACCCTGTACTTCCAATTCAGAGTTGTAATTGTAAATCTGATTCTACCCCTCAACCGCGAGCAGTAATGAGCGGCATTGTTTAAATGACTCAAATGAAATGGATGCCGATTCACCAAGCATGAATGACAGCTTGTATAAAGACGTGTGCCGGGAATGAGCCGTGATTGGGAGGGGGGGGGGGGTATGAATGTGTGTGTGTGTGTGTGTGTATGTATATGTGTGTGACTGGTGGCGGCCGCTGAATGGGGTGTTTAACAGTGGTATTAATAATGTCCATGATCTATGAGCTCGTCTGGTGTCACTCAGCGATTACAGCAGCGGTCCCCCTGTGTTCTCCACACCTCGTTTCCTCCCCTGTGTGCCGTGTCAGCCCCCCAAAATAATTGTGTGTTAATGGGTTAGGAGGAGGGGGTCCCGGGGCTGGTGCGTCGCAGCAGAGGAGGAGGGGATTAGAGCCCATAGAGAGAGTCACAGAGGATTATCGGAGAGACGGGTCACTGTTAACAGAGGAGATGATTAGGTGTGATGACTGACCTCTTCCTGGTCACTCATTACACATTGAAGTGAACGATTAGGAGCCACTAATTAAATACTTCGCAGTTTTCACATGACCCTGTGGCTTTATCACCGTTAATGGCTTATTAGCTGATGTCATGATACTAGAAGTGTCTGAGCACTACAACAAACTTTGTCTATTACAAAAATCACAAATTCTGTGATTACTGTGATAACTGTATAGTCTGTTACTATTCCTCACCTGATCTTCAAATCACATATATCAAACTATGTACCAAAATCATTCTGACTACTTCAAAGCTCGCGAACAGTTTGCTTCAATCACTAGTTTTCACATGCATGTATCTATGTTACTTACTGCATGTATTTTTTGGCCTCTGTCACAGTTTAAGATCAGAAAGGACCATCCTGACTCAGCCAATCAGCTCTCAATCCAAAGATTCAAATAGCTCTTGATTTTTTACAAATATATAAGATTTTTTTCTAAAAAAATGGACAGCCTTTTTCTTTCAGAAGACTCTTTCTGTCTTAATTATGTGTGTTAATTATGAAACAAAACTGTTGGATACCACAGCTTTAACTATACCATTAATAATTTTAGAGTAAACAAAGTCTTAGTTGATGAATGCATTGATGGAAATGAAAACCTAATCAGATTCTAAAAGACTTTTAGTTCAATTATTTTTGGTCATAAAGAAACGACATTCAATAGTGTAATAATGTAATGTAATGATCCATCTCTTAAACCATCTCAAATTAAAAATTGCTGCTATTCAACAGCGTTTGTCCAAAATCATCGGCCCAAGATTATCGTAAAAGTAAAATGTAAAGTAGTGTTATGTGCACTGGGTAACATTATGTGTGAGTTTACATTCAACACGTCTTCTACCCCTGACATTGGAAACTTGAACTTGCTCCATCTGACACTAATAAAACATGTTCACTGATTATTCTTAATGATATGAAACATATTCAAATGTTGCATAATTTCTGTTCCACTAATAACATAAACAAAACATAAACCGTTATGAAACATGACTGATTGTTTATGACACCATACGGCCTCACGCACCGACAGCAGAGGACTCCGCTCCGCAGTCGATGGTGATAATGAAAAACAGTGTTCTGTGTGAGGAGAGATTCAAAGCCAGGTGCACTAGCCTAAAGCTATTTGCAGGTCTTAATCTGAGTGGAATGAGCCGTGAGAGAAAGAAGGAACTAAAGTCCACTGACTAACAGGTCTCTCCTGACCCCCCTGAGTCCGTCTGTACCACCTCTCACCTCTTCCTCTCCCTCGTTTCCTCTCGTCTTCCTCATTACATCCCCTGGACCGCTTCTTTCAGCCCACTCCATCTGCAAAGCAAAGTTGCCCAGCATTGACGGGACTCTGGAGGGCGCGGGTAAAGAAAGGTGCGAGTCACCCCCAGCTTAGGTAAGGACTGAGCAGAGAGAGAAGAAGAAGAAAAAACGAAATAAGAGGGGAGTGTGGAGATTGAAGCGTTTCTAATTTAAATAAACCCTTTGGCAGACTGAAACTGGCAGCGAGCTTCCCCTGTGCTCGTGAGGAAAAGTGTGTGTAGGAAAAGAAAAAGGGGAAAAGAGGGAAAGGAGAGATGGATATAGAGGTGTCTCCGTGCTGATTTGGTTATCCGCATGGGAGAGTTAGGAGGCCAGAGGACAGCGAATGAGGGACTATAGGGGCTGAAGTGGAATAAGATAGGGAACTAGATAGGAGAGAAGGAGAGGGGACACAAATAATAGGAAAAAAACACTGACAAGATACAGGGGTTAAGAGAGGGGAGAATGGGAAAGAGCTGTGAAACTTAGGTAATAGAGAGGTTCGCGCTTGTGAATAGATAGAAGTGTGATCCATCTACCCAGGGGTTCATCCAAGGGAGGCATACACACACACACACACACACACACACACACACACAAAGACAATAGGTGGAAGAAAAGAGGAAAGTAAAACAAGGTCCACCTCTCAGCAGTGGGTCCCGTCATCAGTCTCATCTCATCAAAACTTGCCAGAAGTTTTTTGGACGGCTCCCAGCAGCACCCAATCTGCTGCAGGCTGTGATCTCTTCTCCCGTCACACTGTCTCCCCCTGTCTGTCCCTCTGGCGCGTCACAGCAGTGGCCTGATCACCGGGCGGACACAGGGATCCTAATGGGCTACCGCTGTGGCTGAGGAGCGCGGAGGCGACGGTAGCTGTAATCTAAAGTCTCACCGTGGGACGCCTCAGGATGCCCATTTGGCCCGTCGGCTGTTTGTTATCTTGGTTAGGATGGGTGAAGGGGGGATGAGATGAAAGCCACACAGCCTGGAGAGGTGGGAGAATGAGATGGGGTGGATAAGCATTCATCAAACAATTGAATAGCAATATTTATCTGTGGTGGAGTGTGGAGTGTTGTGGAAACGCTGGGTATAATTGACATTTTCCGGTGAAGATAGATTTGTCGTTTTATCAACTTGTCACATCACAAAACAGATTCTGTAATGTGAAGAGTGAGTAGAGACATTGTAGTATCTAATTAGAATCTATTAAATTCAATTAATTGTTATACTTTGCAATCATTTTGAGGTGATGAAAATTCCTTAAAAGGCGATGTCCGTAACTTCAAATATTTATTTCTTGTAAGAACTCTTATTTTTGCCATATGACTCTGTAGTAGTAAGACCTACTTCAGGACTCCCACTGATGTCTGCTGTCATTGTGTCCTTGGGCAAGACACTTAACCCCACTTTGCCTGAAGCCCCCACTGAAAGATCTCAGCTCCTGTGGACTCACCACCAGCAGGAGGATCAGTGAGGGGCTGGTGCTAAGTGTACTGGGTGCAGCTCTGACTGCCACCCCCCAAGGGGAAGAAAATGGATGGATGGATGGACTCTGTTGTATAATGTAAGGGAAGTGTTTTATCCCACATAACATGTTTAATACGGACCCTTCCCATGACAAAAACATCACCAGTGAGATTTTCTGGAGGAGAATAATTCGACCAATGGTGAGGCTTGATATGATTTTGTCCAATAAGAAAGCTGTGAGGGAGAGCACTGGGTCTAACTGGGGATTGCATTTAAGTAAGTAAGTAAGTAAGCTTTATTTATATACCGCCTTTCACAGACCAGAGTCACAAAGCGGTTTTCAATTGTTATATTTTTTTTTTTGGGCACTTGTCCTCTCACTCCACACAGAGATGGGAGCGGGGTCGCCGAACAGGAGGCGCATGCCAGACGTATTGTACATATTTTTTTAGTGGTAGGGGAAACCGGAGTACCCGGAGGAAACCTACGCAGACACAGGGAGAACATGCAAACTCCACTCAGAAAGGCCCTGGTCCGGCCGGGATTCGAACCCAGAACCTTCTTGCTGAGAGGCGAGAGTGCTATCCACTCAGCCACCATGCCGCAATATTAATTAATATGTTCTCTCTGTTCACTTTTTGACATTTAACTGACTTTAATAATTGTAGTAAACCTGGTAATAAAATATATGTGTGAACAGACAAGGTCAACCATCAACACAACAGAAATTCCCGAAAGTAAAAGTAAGGAAAGTAAATTAATCTGTTTTAAAAAAAGAGTATTATGACTTTCTTTCCGCATTTCTAACTTGTCTCTTCTTTTACTCCTTTGATATTTTATATACTGTTTCCTTCTGTATTTCATGTTTTTATCGAGGCCCTGCATTGATGCTTGAAGTGTAATCCGTAGCACTTTGAGATTTATTTGAAATATAAGATTCTATATGATTAAAATGTATCATTAAAAGTAAATGAAAAGTCAAAATAAACATGCAATACATAAAAATGGTGATATTGTCCCAAGTCCAATGACAGCTTGTTTGACAAAGCCCGCTTGAATGTGAGAGTTCTGCCTTGAAAACGTTTTCCGTTTCTGGATGCTAAAGTCGCGTGAAGGTCACAGTGCCATACATTTTAGTCAGTCCTACATCAGCAAACATAATACCAGATTAAGCCCCGCGGTCATATGCATATAAACCGACTATTACAGGTGTATTACAACATCAAGCTGGGAATCAGGCCTTGTCACGCATGTTGACATAAAATGACAAGATGCGATTACACAGTGACTGGATTAAAGCGTGCCTAGGCCCACAGGTAGCAGAGAAGTCCATAGGCTGAATCCAGAAGGGGGGGGGGAGCAGGGGAGCACGGCGACCCCCTCCTCTCCTTTCCTCCTTCAAACATACACACCGGGAACTGGCTCCGGCTCTGGCTTCGCTGGAGTGGAGAACCATAAATCTTCATATAGCGGCTGTTTTGATTAATGCAGCCGAGTCGAGCTAGGGGGCTGGACCTATCCCATTATGGCCTAATGGAAGATGGAGCGGCGCTGTCTCCACCACTAGGCCCCTGTCATTTGTTCCACTTTGCAGTCCATTTGGCCGAGAGACTACAAGCCACTCCATCAAAAATATTTTCAGAGTTAATTTCCGCCCGCTTAATTCGCCTTGATTCGGATTGCGTATCGAATGGCAGGATCGATTTTCGCCTGGCGTCTAAATTAAATAAAAGAGAGGGGGTATACTTTAACTCCACGTTTTCGTTCTTTTCCATTCCATTCTTCCACCTCTTTTCCAGCCATCCTTTACCGCGGGACTGCTCTTTCTATTTTTCTTCCCTATACGATGCATCTCATTTCCTCCTTTTTCTCAGATTTTGATTGTGCGGGAGGAGCAGGAGTGTACGGGGGTTCTGACGGTAGTTACAGATGAAGGGAAACCCATTGAAAGAGCCGCCCTGGTGGATAGATTTATGGATTTGTCATAAATTACAGAGATGTAGACTCGTATGCTCTTTGAGAGACATAAAGCAAGAAATCCTCATGTGACAATGGCATCACGGCAAACGTAAAGACTACATTTGGAAAACAGAATTGACGTGCCTACAGTGGAAAAGCGGTGTAAATTAGGGGCACCGGGGTATTGAAAGAGGTGAAAAATAATAAAGGGACGGTACAAAAAAAAGAATTGAAAAGGGGCAAAAAAACGGTGACAAATTGGTGGAGTGTGTCGCAAATTCCTTTTTAGATTTAAAGCTGCGTGTAGCCTATCGTCATATCTTTCCAGAGTAATTTATTTTCTCATTTCTCTCGCTTACTCTCCTCAGTAGCCTTCTCTCACGGTGTGTGTGAATTTATCTGGTAGTCACGTGTGCTGTGGGGGAAAAGGCAAAGGGGGGGGTCAATAAAAGTCGGCGGCGACAACTGTTTCCTTCACGTCTTTCTTGTCTCCTTCTTGCATTATCTCCACTGCTTTGCTTTCTATTTGTTTATTCAATCGTGCTGCAAGGCTCCTCCTTATTTCCTCCTCCTCCGACACTACATCCTGTTTGAATCCTCGCTCATATCGCTCAGTCTGCACGCCTATACCTAGTCCCTCTCCGGAGAGCCGTATTGATTTTATTCTCCCACTAACAGCAAACCCCATGCTTTGAAATTACAAAATCAGGAAGCTGGAGGATCCATCTCTTGTATCTAGCTCAGAAATGTTTCGATAACGGGTAGAAAGTTCTCAGAGGCTTACAAGTTGGTAATGAAGACCACGGGTGTAGCTTTGGCCCGAGAACAAGAAGCAGTTTGTAGGATCCAATGAGAGAGGAAAGAAAAAATCAACATGGAATTAGAGATGGATTATGTTTGGATATACAGAAGTGTATGGTTACTACAATAACTCAATGGTACGGATAGATGAGAACTAGTCTGGGAAATTGTTCATTTGTTTGAATGTGCATTTTGGTTCAAAGTACATGTGAATTCATTATCTGATAAAATATGCAAATAGTTTAAGATGCCATACACAAAACATCCCCATAAAAGGAGTGATGGAGCGCGTCTTCAACCTAAGCCTCAAGCTGAGGTCGGTACCACAGCTCTGGAAAACGTCCTGTGTGGTACCAGTGCCCAAGAAAACACGGGCCAAAGACCTTAGCAACTTCAGTGGCTCTAACATCCCACTGCATGAAGACACTGGAGAGACTGGTCCTGGGACATCTCCGCTCCACTCTGACCTCAGCGATGGACCTGCTGCAGTTTGCCTACAGGCCGGGCATCGGAGTTGAGGACATCATCATCTCCCTCCTCCATTGCTCGCTGTCCCACCTGGAGAAATCCGGCTCTGCTGTGAGGATCCTCTTATTTGATTTCTCCAGTGCCTTCAACACATTCAGCCGAGGCTTCTCAGGGACAAGATGGAGACAGCTGGAGTGCACTACGACCTGTCCCAGTGGATACTGGACTACCTCACAGACAGACCCCAGTTTGTGAGAACCAGAGACTTTGTGTCTGAGGTCCCCCCAGGGGACAGTCCTTGCGCCATTCCTCTTCACCCTCTGCACTGCAGACTTCAGACACAA